GGGGGGGGGGGGGGGGGTCTATCTGCAACAGTGAAACTACAGGGTTAGTGAGTACAAAACAAGGATACTACAAGGAGTCTACGAGCAAATAACCCAAATTATATGATGCTTCTTCTGGTTAAAATAATGTTATCTTTTCATAATGTACAAGGTTGTATAATCTTGCATTTTTTTTTCAACCACAAACACTTTTTATAAAATTAACAGTGCTTTTCTCATTATTGTTTGTGCTAATTTATTAATTTATTTTCTAACTTTTCTTTTACTCCTTTCATCTTACTCTTGTACAGGGCTGTTGGTGCTTCAGCTGGTGCAGAAAATGAGGGAGTGTGAAAGAAAATTATTAAGTTTGGCCTGTAAATATCTTTAAGCTACCTCTCAAGAAAGTTTTTAGTGGTCCTACTCTTATGGCATTTATAATGCACAAAAGAGATACCGTCCTTGGATTAGTGCCCAAATCGCCAGTCTACTATAGTTGAACGATATACATTTCTTTGGTGTTCCATTATTGACGGTAGACCTGGACTACTTGATACTTTCTCATGTCTCTCAAAGCGCATTCCTTTTGTTTCCTGTGTGCTTATTGTTGTAATAAATATAAATATATTTGTTGCATCAAGACGTTCTGATTCCTCGGAATGTTTTAAATTTCATAAATATTTGGAAAGAAATATGTCTGATTGGGATATATAATGAGACGATTTTCCCCAGGTGGTTTGTGGTTTGGTTTCAGGGTTTCTTTGAGCCTTACTTGAAATATGTAAATGCCTACAGATTACAGCTATTGCTGACTTATGAGCATTTGGTCTTGATCTACATATTTGATGTACATATTGATCTCTTATTGGTCTTACCAACTAAACAGCTTTTATCTACGTATTTGATGTGCAGGCTTGCTCTATTCTTGGTCTTATTACATGAACGACTTTCTCGAACTTATGGACAGCGTTCCTTGTATCTGATTAATGTAGCCGAGATTTATCGTCACAAGAAAACACTGAGAGCGTGGCTTTCACCTCATATCCTTTTAAATTTAAGGTCTTATGCTTAAATACTATCCTTTGCTCCGGAACGATATAATTTATCAATATGCTGGGTCTAAAAGAGAAGAGAGTCGCTACAGTTACATCTTAAACCACACTCCTCTCTCGTTGCAGTGCATTGGGGCCCGCATGATTTTTTTTTAAATTCTCATGTAGGCTTCAGTGTACTGTAGCTAGGGGTGTCCAAAAAGCCCGCCGGCCCGGCCCGGGCTGCCTTTTTGGTGCTGGGCCCGCCCCGGCCCGGAATAGTGTTTTTAAATTTTTTTTATTTTTTTATATGTATTATATATGTATAATATATGTATATATAAATATATATAATATGTATAATATATGTATATATAATATATTTATATATATGTATAATATATGTATATATATAATATATGTATATATAATATATTGCTATATATGTATAATATGTGTGTGTATATATACTCTCTCTTATATATGTATAATGTATGTATGTATGTATGTATATATAATATATTTCTATATATGTATAATATGTGTGTATATATATACTCTCTCTTAGTATATAAGTATATATATGTATAAGTATATGTAAGTATACTTTCTCTTATATAAGTATATATAAGAATACTCTCTCTTATAGTATATATGTATATATAAGTATACCACTGCTGGATTTTCAACTTTTAGCGACGGACAAATCCGTCGCTATAAGTTGATATTCCGTCGCTAAAAGTTTTAGCGACGGAAAAATTACAATTCCGTCGCTAAATTTTCGACGCTATAACAAGGGTGCCTAAAAAGACTTTTGGCGACGGACATTCCGTCGCTAAATTTTAGCGACGGTCTATTAGCGACGGAATGTTGGTCGCCATTTAAAAAAAATAAAAAAATAAAAAAAAAATAACGACGGAAAATCCGTCGCTAAAATTTCTTTAGCGACGGAAATTCCGTCTCTAAAGAAGTATTAGCGACGTAAAATCCGTCGCTATTGTTTTTGGAAATTATGCACGTATGGTTTCGTGCATGTTTTCCGTCGCTAAATAGGGCTTTAGTGACGGAATTTCCGTTGCTAAAATAGTTTTTAGCAACTGATTTTCCGTCGCTAAAAATTTAAAAAAAAATTTGGAAAATATTTTGAAAATTGAAAATACCCTGTACAATATCGATAATAATTTTTAAAAACCTGTTCAATCAGCAGAAGAAAGCTTCAATCTTACGCAAATATCACAGACCTAACTGTAGCAAGAAAAGAATGTGATTGTGGACGTGGTTTAAGAATGTGCCTCTTAACATTTTCCAAAAGAGAATTGACACATAATTCACCATACATATCCAATCAATATTAAATATTAATAAACTATACTGCATATTTAAGAAAGGCCCTCCTATTGTTCTCCCCACATACGCCACGTCTTAAAAAATTCCGGGAATATCGCAGTCTGAAAAGTGAAAGAAAACGATATCACACTCGCAAAAATAAAATGAGATGCCCTCTTACTTCAGAAGAAAAACCGATGTGAATGCTCTCGCTCTAGTAAAAATCAACGTAATTTCCTTACACTTGAAAAATCGAAGAAATATATTTAAGACTTTCAAAATTTCAAGCTAACCGAACAAAACATCTCGTTCCTCGCCTATCGGAATCCACCACTCTATATATCGTCATATGTTATACGTGCGTCGCATACACCGAAGTGCTCGTCATCAACAAAACACCGAGTCAAAATAAAGTGCACATACAAACTTCTACTTCCTCCCTACTTCAACGGAGGACTCAGTAATCACTAATCAGCGTACGCCCAAAATACTTTGACTTTACTTGGTTACTAATATTTTTAAATGCCAATTCGGAATAAAAATCTTGGGCGCTTCTACAGGGACCCCAAATAGGGGACCCAAGGGAGGGACATGTGAGCTGTCCCCCTCCGGTTGAAGTATCTAGTCAACATAAGCAAAATATTCTATTAGTGAGATGAGCCTTTGATCTATTCCATAACATACAAATCGGAAAGTTATCTAGTCAACATAAGCAAAATATTCTATTCGTAGAAATAAGAAAATAGATCCTTTGCTCTGATCTTTCAAACCACTCTATTCCTTTGTTTCTTATGATGTTTTTGAACAATGGAATTGAATCTATTTTTATCGATTTATTTCTAGGCTCTCAAGAAAGAATCAATTTATTTTCTAAATAATTATATGGATTGAAATATGGATTTAAACAACTAAGACGTCCTGTAAATTATTTCTATACTAAACTAATAGGACCTTACTCTATAAAAAAAGATAAAAAAAATGCGATGAAGTAAAAAACAAGGATTTGGGTATGCGTAAAAATAGAATTTAATCCGCTTTTCAAACAAAAAAGACAAAGTCAATTTTTTTGTTTGAAGAATTTTTCTTTTTTATAATATAAAAGAAAAATTGAAATTAAGTTATACGTTAAAATTAATTGAATAATAGAAGAACTTTTATCAAACTGAAGTAAAATTATAAATTACAAACACCTTAAAAATATTACAAAGAAGCAGTTGAGGAGCAACACTTGTACTTGAAGAATTGATTAACTTTTATTCTTAAAAAAATATTACAAAGAATAATATCATCAAGGCATGGTTCAACATTCTCCGTATCATAAAATAAAATTGAAAGTATGACTTGTAAAATTAGAGCAGAGAGATTATGATATATTTCCCTATGTGCTCTAAATATAAAAAAAAATTCTTTGATGAAAGGTCCCTATCATATATTGCTCCAAATGATATGAATAAAAAATGCTATTACAACTTACCTGTCTAGAGCAATTGTATTGTATATAGGAGATATAACTCATCTGGAATATCCACACCTGCTAAGTGGATTTTGATGTTGCGAGAGAAAAATGTTAGAGGCTTGTATTCAAACTTTTTAGCTCTGTAAAACATACAAGAATTTAGAGTGCATAGCTTATATATTGTAAAGAACATACTGATTCATGAAGAATTTTCCCTAATAACAATATTATTACAACGACACTACTATTCAGTATTAAATCAATTTTATTATATAAGATTATATGACCCTTGTTTAATAATAATTATTATTTATATATTAATAGTTATAAAATAATATATATAAAATAAATATACTATATATAATATATATATATATCTACAACACACTATTATATAGTATATAGTATATACATATACATACCATATAGATATATATATATTATATATATAGTTTATATATATATATATAACAATATACTATATAATAGTATATATCATATAATATATATATATATATATATATATATATATATATATATATATATATTTATATAATTAATATATGCTATAATGATTATATGTATAATGTATATATATATATATATATATATAATATATATGTATATATATATATATGTATATATACATAATATATATATAAAAAATATTCATTAAACCTAATACATATATATCCTATAATATAACTATATATACTATATTAATATATATAATATATATATAATATACTATATACCTATATATAATATAATAATATATAAGTATATATATATATATATATATATATAATAATATATATGATATATCCAATAATAGCATATGTATGATATACTATTATAATACCTGTATCATATATATGTAATATACTATTATAATATATTAAATGTTTTTGATATTTCCATGTTTGATCTTAACATTTCGTCTTCTAGAGAAATAATAGTGTTTAATCCCTTAAACTATTAATGATTTAAGATTAATTAGTAATTTGAATGTATAATTTTAAAATATTAATGATCTCAGGGGTCAATACCAAAAAACTATTATTATTAATGAAAAATAAAATTTTGAATTCATCAAATAAAAATGGTAGGTTTTATCTAGTCATTAAGGATTTTGTTAGTTATAAAAAAATCACTTCCACCTGTTGTTTAGTCGGTAATCAAGTATTATAGATATTCAAGAAACTTTTTCTAGAAGTTTCTAAGTTAGAATGTGCAAATTCAATCAATAAAGAAAATATAAATTATCTAATTAATTATAAAATTTGATGTTGTACTCTTATTACATATTCCCAACTACTAATTGATTTGTCAAAATTATTACTCTTTAGTTTCAGAAAATTATAAAATATAATATGAGAATAATTTGCACACATTATGCACTCATATTGATTGTATTTTAACAAAATAATTAATATCCATCCAATGTCAAACAACATCCAAAAATTTAGCTTAAGGAGTTAGAAGATTACAATATCTGCAATAATACTCAAATCTAAGCTATGAGCTTCGTAAACTTATAAGAAGGTGAGCAATATAAAATGATAACTTAATTTATTTTGTCAAATAATTTATGACAAATCACAAAAGATAAGGGGAATCAGAAGGATCATATACCCATCCCAAATAAACAATAAATTTTTCTTAGAGATTCTTATAGCAAAAGATTTTTAGAGTTAATATGTAGGATAAATTTAAGGACAAATAACTCGAACCAGTTTATTGAGTGATAGACTTGCTATAAACTCCACTCTTATAAAACTAATGTCACACGTGCCTTAAGTTGTACTTTTTGTTTAAGGGTTAATTTTAGAAAACTCCCCCTAAACTATGGGGGCATGTCAATCCTC